GCAAAGACAGGGTTTTGCCAGGTTAGCCAGACCGGTCTGGAGTCCCTGGCCTCAAGTGATCCACCTACCTTGGACTTCCAAGGTGCTGGGATTACTGGTGTGAGCCACCATACCCAGCCCAAAATAACTAAATTTTAGAGTGTGTTTATACCATTCCATAGCTGTGGGCTAACCACACTTGACACGTGGTCCATGGGACACTGACAATCCACACTTTGTGACCAGTTGGTGATAATATGAGGAGGTAGCACCATAATGGAGATCAGCTATTGTACCAAGCTTGCCATTCAGCTCAGCTCACTTTTTTCTTACAAGGCTTTCTTAATGCAGGAAGCAGAAGGCACTGGTTTCCATCCTGGCACAAACACCTTAACCTGCCATGTTGGCTAGGCTGGTCTTGAACTCCTGGCCCTAAGTGATCTGCCAGCCTTGGCCTCAAAAGTGCTAGGATTACAGGCAGGAGCCACCATCCCTGACTGCCACCTGCTCATTTATTAAAGCCCCCTTTTATTTACTTGCAACCAAGACTGAAAATCCCTGGCGCAGATTGGCTCCCTGCGAGCAGGAATAATCTGCAGCCCCTGCTTCCCTTCTAGGCATGTCTATGTCTCCCTTGGCTGTTTCTGTGAGATGCTACATTTTTGAGTTCTGCTTTTATTCGTGTTACCTGAGCATGTTCCCACAGTCTCCCTGACTGTGCTGTCAGCTGCATATTCATCCTTTTTGTATCTTCCATCCTGGGTCCTCTCCCACCTCTTCTGTGGTCAGTCCTTTGATGCCTTAAATTGTGCTGCTTTCTCTCCTGCACCAAAGAATGAAGCAGCCAGTGCAGAGTGGGGGCTGTAGTCATCATTGTCACTGAGGTATTGTGACCTAGGAAAGATATATGATCTGTTACAACACAGCACAGTGCCCTTGACAGATGTTGGCTGCCTTTGTCATTGTTGATGTTCTGGTGATTATTGTTGATGCTGGGTGGATTCTTCCTGAGAATGGGGCAGTTACCCAGCTGTCCTGTCCCTTGGTGCTTTTTATCAGGATCCTTCCTTAAGTCTGCAGCCAAGCCATCTGCCAGGGCTTGGGTCTCATCTGAAGACTCAACTGGGGAAGGGCCCACTTTGAAGCTTACCTGGTTGTTGGCAGAACTTGGTTCCCTAGTTGTTCATATATTGAAATACTTTCTTATTACTGTGGAAACAGCCAGTGCCCCAGGTACTTTTCACAATGAACTCTTGGGAGCTTTCTGTGATCTGGAAAATAAAGGGTTAATTAATTCCTGGCACTGCAGGGGTACCTGGGCCTCTGATGACCTCAAACTGATTATCTATTTTGAATATCACCTCTTCTTACAGTGCTTGGGAACCAAGAGGCTATGCCCTTCCCTTCTTGCATTTTCTTACATCCCGGTCCTGGGAAGTGAGCTTCACACAGCAGAGATGCTGTTATCTGGGCTGGGTTTTACCCGTCGCTGCTGGTACAGGATGCTGGCTCAGGCCCAACAGCATGAGAACTTTACGAAGCATACACAAGTTTCAGTACTGAATTGATCAGGTTGAAGAAAGGATATCAGAGATTGAAAAGAAATGAACGAAGCCTCCAAGAAATGTGGGATTATGTGAAAAGACCAAATCTATGTTTAATCAGTGTACCTGAATGTGAGAGGGAGAATAAAACCTAGTTGGACAACACTCTTCAGGATATTTTCCAGGAGAAGTTCCTTAACCTAGCAAGGCAGGCCAACATTCAAATTTAAGAAATACAGAGAACATGGCTAAACCAGGAAGAAGTTAAATCTCTGAATTGACCAATAACAAGGTCTGAAATTGAGGCAGCAATTAATAGCCTACCAAACAGAAGTCCAGGACCAGATGGGTTCACAGCCAAATTTTGCCACAGGTAAAAAGAGGAGCTCGTACTTTTCCTTCTGAAACTATTCCAAACAATACAAAAAGAGGGAATCCTGCCTAGCTCATTTTATGAGACTAGTATCATCCTGATACCAAAACCTGGCAGAGACACAACTAAAAAAGAAAAGTTCAGGCTGATATCCATGATGAACATTGATGGGAAAGTCCTCAATAAAATACTGGCAGAACCGAATCCAACAGCACATCAAGAAGCTTATCCATCATGATCATGTCAGCTTCATCCCTGAAATTCAAGGCTGGTTCAACATACACAAATCTATAAACATAATCCATCACATAAACAGAACCAAGACAAAAACCACATGATTATCTCAATAGATGCAAAGAATGCCTTCGACAAAAATTCAACATCCCTTTATGCTAAAAACTCTCAATAACTAGGTATCAATGAAACGTATCTCAAAGTAAGAGCTTTTTATGACAGACCCACAGATAATAGCATATTGTATGGGCAAAAACTGGAAGCATTCCCTTTGAACAATGGTACAAGACAAGGATGCCCTCTCTTGCCACTCCTACTCAACATAGTATTGGAAGTTCTGGTCAGGGCAACCAGGTAAGAAAAAGAAATAGAGCATATTCAACTAGGAAAAGAGGAAGTCAACTTGTCTCTATTTGCAGACGACATGATTGTATATTTAGAAGACCCCATCGTCTCAGCCCCAAATCTCCTTAAGTTGATAAGCAAATTCAGCAAAGTCTAAGAATACACAATCAATGTGCAAAAGTCACAAGCATTTTTATACACCAATAACAGCCAAATAATGAGTAAACTCCCATTCACAATTGCTGTAAAGAGAGTAAAATATCTAGGAATACATCTAACAAGGGATGAAAGGACCTCTTGAGAATTACAAACCATTGCTGAAGGAAGTAAGAGGACACAAACAGATGGAAAAACATTTCATGCTCATGATTAGGAAGAACCAATATTGTGAAATGGCAATACTGCCCAAAATAATTTATACATTCAATGCTACCCCATCAAGCTACCATTGACCTTCTTCACAGAACTGGAAAAAACCACTTTAAACTTCATATGGAACCAAAAGAGAGCCTGCATAGCCAATACAATCCTAAGCAAAAAACCAAACAACAAAAACAAAACTAGAGGCATCATGCTACCTGACTTCAAGCTATACTACAACGCTATAGTAATCAAAACCATGGTACTGATACCAAAACAGATACAGACCAATGGAATAGAACAGACACCTCAGAATTAATGCCACACCTCTACAACCATCTGATCTTTGACAAACCTGACAAAAACAAGCAATGAGGAAAGGATTCCCTATTTAATAAATGGTGTTGGGAAAACTGGCTAGCCATCTGCAGAACGCTGAAACAGCATCCCTTCCTTACACCTTATACAAAAACTAACTCCAGATGGATTAAAGATTTAAACATAAGACCTAACACCTTTAAAACCCTGGAGGAAAACTTAGGCAACACCATTCAGGACATAGGCATGGCCAAAGACTTCATGACTAAAACACCAAAAGCAATGGCAACAAAAGCCAAAATAGACAAGTTGGACATAATTAAGAGCTTCTGCACAGCAAAAGAAACAATCATTAGAGTGAACCGGCAACCAACAGAATGGGAAAAAATTTTTGCAATCTACCCATCTGACAAAGGGCTAATATCCAGAATCTAGAAAGAAATTAAACAAATTTACATGAAAATCAGCCCCACCAAAAAGTGGGCAAAAGATATGAACAGATGCTTCACAAAAGAAGCCATTTATGCAGCCAACAAACAGGAGAAAATGCTCATCATCACTGGTCATTAGAGAAAAATGAGGAATGCATTTACACTGTTGGCAGGAGTGTAAATTAGTTCAGCCACTGTGGAAGACAGTGTGACAATTCCTCAAGGATATAGAACTAGAAATAGCATTTGACCCAGCTATCCCATTACCCAAAGGATTATAAATCATTCTATTATAAAGAGACAAGCACACATCTGTTTATTACAGTACTGTTTGCAATAGCAAAGACTTTGAACCAACCCAAATGCCCATCAATGATAGACTGGATAAAGAAAATGTGGCACATATGCACAATGGAATACTATGTAGCTGTAAAAAAGGACAAGTTCATGTCCTTTGCAGGGACATGGATGAAACTGGAAACTATCATTCTCAGAAAACAAGAACAGGAAACAAAACACTGCATGTTTTCACTCATAAGTGGGTGTTGAACAATAAGAACACAGGGAGGGGAACATCACACACCAGGGCCTGTCAGGAGGAGAGGTGGTAAGGGAGGGATAACATTAGGAGAAATATCTAATGTAGATGACAGGGGGATGGATGCAGCAAGCCACCATAGCACGTGTATACCTATGTAACGAACCTGAACGTTCTGCATATGTACTCCAGAACTTGGTATAATTTTTAAAAATAGAGGCAGTCTTATTATGCTGCCCAGGCGGTTCTCAAACTCCTGGGCTCAGGCAACTTCAAACTCCCAAGTAGCTGGGACTATAGGTGTATATCACCACACCCAGCTATTTTTTCTACAATTTTTAATATTTTAGTCTTATTTTCAAAACCAATAATATAAGTAGAGGAACCATCTCTCCTACCAAGTATATTATACCCAAATAGTAAGTGTCCAAGAAAAACAGCTATATGCTATTTGCTGTACAGTTTTTCAACTAAAAGGTGTCAGGGAGATTCCATGATTACAAGTAATTTGATCCACTGAAGATTTATACTGGCAAAAATACAGATGTCACACTAGTACAATTTAAAAGTCAAAGTATTAATATTTAATTAAACTTTAACCAAATTTCATATTTTTTGTATTGGGGAAAACATTTCCTAAGGTGATTTTTCTGTTGCTATGTATCTTCCAGTTCATTTTTGTTTAGCCCCCACCCTGTCACAGTACTTTTGTCACAATCTTTTGTTACCAACATTAATAAAAATTTTTAATCAACTAGCCATATGTCTATAGTTTTGTTTGGCCAACTTTCCATAACCATCATAAAACAATAATAGGTAAACCACTGCTAAATTTAAAAAAAGTAAATACTATGCAAAAGTTGACTGAGTGAGAAAATTTTACAAGAGACCACTTTACCTTGGTAGTAACAGGTCTTCATCATCTGGTTTAGGGCATGAATCCACACACAGTTCATGGAAAATGCTTTAGAGCAAAAATGTACAATAAAAATGAGCACGTTGATTTTTTTTTTTTTTTTTACAAATTTTTTAACTGCCAGTTCATATTCAGTGTCCCCCTCCAACAAACAAAAATGCAATCTGGAAAAAGGTCAGCCTTCTGTATATTAAATAACATTTCTTGATACAATTAAAATATGGCCTCTGTTCTAAAAATAGATTTTGGTTACTTATTTTTGCCTCTAGCTGTCTAAACCTATAATATATTCAATGAAAACTGACCTTGAGCTCCATAATAAATAGTGACAGCCAATATATTGACAGAGCTTGACAATAATTTACCCTCACAAATTATCTTTCCTGAAGCAGAACATGAAATTCAATTAATGGATGACATAACTTTTGTCATCTAAACTGGAAGGAACCTTATGACCTAAAACAAGGTACAAAGATCCACTGTCCCTTGTCTATCTCTGATTAAAAGACTAATCTATGTCACTTCAAAATGGCACTCTTGATTCCTCAGCATAGAAACCACTTAAGAAGGTCCCAGTGCTTTCCTTTGTTCTAAAAGAACACAGAGAATCCCCTGCTGTATTTGAATTGTGTGAGAGTTAAATGTGCAAAAGTCTAATAACAAAGGTGTATTTTCTTATTGAGGATACTCTTCCCAGAAAGATTAAAACATTAACATTATAAAAATCCAATTATTTTCACTTTATACATCCTACCTTATTCAGGTCCACATAAACTAATAAGCCCTTAAAAACCTTCATAGGCACTCAGATATCCAACGAGAGGGACTGCTGGAAAAACAGAGGAGTCCTGGCAGTTGTACCTCTATTTCCCTAAGTACTATCTAAATATCTTTCTGTGGTTTCCCACTTCCAGATTCCACCTATGCAGGGCTCCATGGCAGTTTCTAATCTTCAAATCTTGAGTCTATGAAAGCACAGATCCCTGAAATGATGGCCTCAAATGACCAGGAGTGGGAGCGCTCTACATCCCTGCTCCTGAAATAACAACCTAACTAGAGTCTCTACTAACTACCAGCACAGACACACCTCCAGCTACCCAGCTGAATTTCATGATTAATATGATAGCCAGCAATGCCCCTGACCGAGCCTGCATAGATATGGGAAGGACTTCAGTAAATTGGGAAAAGAGGCAGAGATGAGGAGATACCTGCCTTGGGCCACAGATATATGCAGTTAAGCTATCCCCAGCCCATCAGTACCCAAGGGGCTCTAAGCCACCCCTCTGCAAGTCAGGATGGAATTAGATGATACCACATTTCTGTCTGCTGTAGAGATTCCTCCCAGGGTCTTCAAATGTGTTAGTATCTTACAGCAAAAATCTTGAGGTTTGTCAGTTCTTGATTTAAAAAAAGCACAACAATCTGTTTAGAGCTTCCTTGAACCCTCTATTTTAATGTGCCTTTGTAGATAACTCCCACTATCTTGTGCCCTTTATCTTTTTATCAAACTTGTCATAAACCCCAATTTTCTAATCTCTTATTGAATAATCTCTATCCAGTGTTGTTTTCCCTCAAACTTGGCCTTCCCCTGCTCATTCCATTCTTAGCCATAGCCATTGAGTTCACCAGCTAAGCTAATTCCATTCTCATTCTATCCACTGGGTGCACCAGACTCACTCCCCCTTTGTATTATTAAAATATGCCAGGCCAGGTGTGGTGGCTCACACCTGTAATCCCAGCACTTTGGGAGGCCGACACAGGCAGATCACCTGAGGTCAGGAATTTGAGACCAGCCTGACCAATATGGAGAAACCCCATCTCTACTAAAAATAGAAAATTATCAGGGCATGGTGGTGCATGCTTGTAATCCCAGATACCCAGGAACCTGAGGCAGGAGAATCGCTTGAACTCGGGAGGCGAAGGTTGCGGTGAGCTGAGATTGTGCTATTGTATTCCAGTCTGGCAACAGTAGCGAGACTCTGACTCAAAAAAAAGAATAAAAAAACCCCAAAACCCAAAAACAAAAAAAACATGCCAATAGAATAAAAAAAGAAGGAAGAGTATTGGACTTTAAAACGAGTTCAAATCTCATTTCTACCATGTCTTATGTCCGAAAAAAAGCATTGTAATCTCTTTGATTCTCAAGTTCTCTATCTAGAAAATCATTTGACCAGGACATTCAATACAGATTGAAGTACTAGAGGATATTTTAATTTGTCCTAAGATTCCTCAAATTTCTGTAATTCTGTGTGCTTTTGGTTCTGTCTATAGGAAAATTGGGAATACATAGCCAGAGGAATTTGAAAACATAACAATAAACACCAAGGAAGAAAAATCATGGAAAAAGCAAAACAAAAAATAAAAAAGCATTATGGAAGTAGGCAGAAATACTAGCCTACAAGGAAAACAGAACTGGGAAGTTAAATAATTTCTCTCCAAGACTTGCCAAATCTTCATTTTGTAAAACATCCAGTCCTATGGCCAAAATTTACTCTGGCCTAAGGGCTTTGATGGTTAATTAAAAAAAAAGTTGCTGGTTACCACAAAAATTGTCAAATTTATTAGGACAAACTCAAGGACTAACCTCATTTCTAACAGTAACTTAAAATGGGAGTTCAACTTAAACTCATTAATTTAGACATTAACATAATTAATCTGACTAATCTTATTCAGACCTATACATTGATAAAAGGGCTGCACAGATAACTCTATCAATCTGTACTGAGGACCAAGAGAAAAGATTTGAAAGCCAGATAGGCTGACTTGACAGTCAAACTGTTGGTCAGCTACTTTGTGAACTATGGGATCATGATCCAATTAACCTCTCTAAACCACAGTTACCTATTTAATAAACAGTAGGTTATAAGAAAATACATTGTGATGGCTTTATGAAATAAATACATAGCACATAATAGGGTATTTAGCCCAGAATACAACAGTCAATAGATGTTTTTTTCATCTATATTTTCTTAGTTTAACAATTTTTTACATCTGTAAAATCCTACCCGACTGCAGATTCATCAGAACTACCAGAATCTATTAAATAAAAAGGTAAAATGCATTTTAAATTAATAATGTATAGAATATTAAAACCATAAGAATGTACAGTCTTGCATGCTTATAATTTCAACTATTTGGGAGGCTGAGGAAGGAGGATCACTTGAGAAACCCAGAAGTTTGAAATCAGTTTAGGAAACATAGCAAGACTCTACCTTCATTTAAAAAAAAAAAAGTATGCACAGTTGTGTACATAATTTAGATCACTCTTCTTTAAAGTATGGGACTTATGTATACGAAGTATTCCTTTGGAATCATACCTGGGACCTTATTAGAATTAATATAAATTATACCTATTGGTATGTAATTAATGAAGTAAGAACTCTTACCTCCCTTTTTATTTATTAAATACAAAGAATAAATTTATCAAAATTTAATATGTACAAGTGAACTGCAGTATACAAGTCATCCTAGCCAAACCCTATGAAACTGGCTAAAAGTGATATTGTTAGCAGAACAGATGGAATGAGTGACCAGTGTCAAACAGCATGATTTCTGGACCAAAATATGAGGGGGGCAGTTAAAACAGAGTAAACAGTAGTACCCCTTATCCACCGTATGTGTGGAAAAGACACACTTGCCATGTTTTTCTCTGCTCTCACATCGCAGCAACAAACATCAACAAAGAAGTCTTCTGTGACCAAATGTGTGGAAAGGTTTTCCCCACCAACAAGCAACCAATCACTTCTGCAGATGACACAAACTGGATGTCATCTAATTCAGTTCTCACTGCAGATAGCATCTGATTCCACAGGTAAAGGGCTCAGTCCCATGAGACTGCCTCCCCACATCAGTCCTAAGTCTGAAACTCCAGAACTTCTGACCAATCAGCTTCAAATTGGGGTTCTTAGGACTCCCTCTTTGGGTTAAACTGAATTGCTGGAATGGCTCCAAGTACTCAGGGAAACACACCAGTATACTATGAATGACATCGCAAAAGGTACAGATGAAGAGATGCATAGTGCAAAGTATGGGACTAGTGGCACAGAGATTCCATGCCCTCTCAGGACACACCACCCTCCAGGAACCTCCATGTATTCAGTGATCTGGAAGCTCTCCCAGCCCAGTCCCTTTGGGTCTTTGCAAGCTTCAATACATAGGCATTACTAAGTAATCACTGGCTGTTGGTGACTGACAACCTTCAGCCCTTCTCTCCTCCCCAGAGTTTTCAGAGTGAGACAGAAGATCTCAACCCTCTATTAAGCCATGTCTTCAGGATGGTGACCAGTTCCCATCCTAAATCTGCCTAGGAACTTCCAGCCATCGATTGGTAGCACGCCAAAAGACATCACTTTGGAAATTCTAAGGAGTTTAAGAATTGTACACCAAGAAATGAGTCAAAGTCCAAACACAGATTTTACATCTGCAGTTTTGAATTATGTGGTTACAGCTACTAACAGCTAACCGTATTCCAAATATATTACATTGAAAACTCCAGAAATAAACAAATCGTAAGTGTTAGTGTGCCAGTCTGAGGAGCACAATAAAATCTTGAACTCTTACCCTCTATCCATCCCAGGATGTGAACCATTCCTTTTTCCAGTGCATCCACACTGCATGTGCTGACCAGCCATTAGTCATCAACATGGTCATCTGCATCCAGCCATCAACATCATTAGGGCCTGAAGGTCCAGGAACACTCAAAGCTGACTATCTTTTTTCTGACTTAGAGTCAGGGGGTGAATAGCGGCCTACCGCTATGTGACAATGCCCACATCATTCACCTCACTTCATCTCATTACATAGGCATTATATCAGTTCACATCATCACAGGTAAAAGGGTGAGAACCATACCATATATTTTAAGAAACCACATCCAAATAACTTTTATTACAGTATATTACTATAATTTTCAATTGTATTTTTAGTTGTTGTTAATTTCTTACTGTGCCTAATTTATAAATTAAATTTTAACATAGATATGTAAGTATAGGGGAAAAAAACAGTGAGTGATTCAGTACTATTTGTGCTTTCAGGCATTCACTGGGGGCCTTTGAATGTATCTCCCACAGTTAAGGGGGAACTATTGCACTTCCTTCTTTGTAACACAACACATACTCTCTAGTTCTTTGGTTAAAACTGTTCAGTTTTGGATAAAATACCCTATCACCAGAAGTCAGCAAAACATAGGAATCAGACCAGAAACAGGGATTCTTGCAACAACTTTCCAGCTGCCAGTGAAGAGCTCAAGAAATATTACTGTGTTACGCTGGCCAATACTCTTGGGGAAGGTGCTGGGTGTTTTACTTAGTGGTAGCCATATGCTCTGCCCTACATGTAACAAGGCCCAATTTATCTGCCATTTCACTTCCCACAGAAAGAACCACTGGAAAGATTACTGCTTTAAGAGCTTATCCACTCAACCACATCACAGAACAAACTCTGTCTCAACAACAACAACAACAACAACAACAACAACAACAACAACAACAAAGAAAGAAATCTAATTGTTTCCACATAAAAATAAGTCTAGGTCCACATTAGATCTGAAGAGTTCACAATGCCATAAGACAGGACAGAAATATATTTAAAAATTATATTCCTGCGTTCTGTAGAAATAAAACTTGAATTTAAGCTTTTGTAAGACAAGTGAAGATAAAGAGCAAAAAATGCATAAGTAAAACTTGAAAGGCCCTTTCTTCATCAAGGGCTCATTCACAAACTATATATATTGTTCAAAACATTGGTTCTGAATTTTGACATGAGTAAGTTGCAGTTTCATTCAAGGATGTCCAAGAGGTCAAATAAGACAATGTCATTTGCTATTTTCAGTCTTTTTTTTTTTTTTTTTTTTAAGAGAACAGTAAACCTCTTTAGAGAAATGAGTTGTCATAACTTCATAGGCTACAGGCTCATGAGTCATAATTCTAAGGGCATTTGTAAAATATGGNTAAGTTGCAGTTTCATTCGAGGATGTATAACAGGTCAAATAAGACAATGTTATTTGCTATTTTCAGTCTTTTCTTTTTTAAGAGAACAGTAAACGTCTTTAGAGAAATGAATTGTCATAACTTTGTAGGCTAAAGGCTCATGAGTCATAATTCTAAGGGCATTTGTAAAATATGGTGGTTCATGCTTGCATTCTGAACTTCTTAGCCTTAAACTCTCATATAGTAAATATTCACAGATACAAACTGATTAAACAAAAGCCCCTTTGAATCTGACGATAATTTTTCTTTTCTTTTTTTGTTTCAGACAGAGTCTTGCTCTGCTGCCAGACTGGAGTGCAAAGGCACAATTTTGGCTCACTGCAGCCTCCACCTCCCGGGTTCAAGCGATTTCTGTGTCTCAGCCTCCCAAATAGCTGGGACTACAGGCACACACCACCATGCCCAGCTAATTTTTTATATTTTAATAGAGATGGGGTTTCACCATGTTGGCCAGCATGGTCTCGATCTCTGGACCTCGTAATCCACCCGCCTCAGCCTCCCAAAGTGCTAGGATTACAGGTGTGGGCCACCATGCCCAGCCTATTGTTCTTTTTCTTTTTTTTCTTCATTTATCAGCAACAGGAAAGTCTAATTAAATGTGGTAGAGTGGTATAAGGGAATACAATGAAAAGTGTAAAATGAATTAAACCAGAGCTAATCGTATCAATGTGGCTACATCTGGAAAATAGAATACAAAGTACACAAAAGAAAGTGGCAGAAAGATATGTAAAGTGTGGAACCACTCACCTTCCATTTTAGGACACAAATAAAAATTCTGCATATTATTTCTGAGCGTCGCAATATAGTTAAGGATTTCAAAAGGGTAATGAAATGGAAAACAGCCAATGATGTTGGTAGCCTCAATGATGTTCATGATGTTGGTCGCCTCTATGCAATTATTTTTTTTTTTTTAATTTTATAACAAAAAGTCTCAAAACCACCGTTGTAAAAGACTGTCTTCCAGTTATGAATGAATGATTATTTTCATAGTTTTTAATAATCAAATATGCCACAAACACATCCATACACACACATGCATACACAGTCTGCTTGTTAGAACATCTCATTGGCTTCAGATCATTGGTGTAATAACATTAACAGCAACTCTCTAATGTTAATACAGAAACTGATATCTAAGTAAAGCATTCCTTTAGGTAAATATCAGAACTCCAACTAGCATATAAGACACCGGAGATATCTCAGAGTCTCAAAATTCACTGCTTTGAATCCCTGACAAGTATAAAAATTCAATATTGGAAATGTTATGCTATTCAAAACATTGAAATAGAAACATCTGAGTTAAAACATTTTTAACATTTTGCTTTCTTATACTTCTAAGTTTATTTTTATTGAAAAATGGATACCAACAATAACATTGAAAAGAATGAGGAGTAAGAAGAATGTGAGTACTTCCAGTCATTTAATGTACTTATTTCCAGCATTCCAATGTATTGAAAATGTACCTGCTCTCGATGTCTGTACATTCTTTCTTTGTACTGCTTCTCTCACAACACGATCTTCCATTTCAGTGGTAGGCTGAATGGGTTTTAAAAGAAAATAATAGATCATATGTATTTTATACAATATAAAGTTAGTAATTAAAAATAAATATATATAATTACCTTCAAGGAAGGATGTTATTCAGGAGGCCCTACAAAGCAAAGTGGACATGTCATCAATTATATGTAGGTGTGACAGGGCCAACCATTCATGCAGTGTTAGTATCAAGCTGAGTCCTCATGCTTGGCTCTGAAAATAGTTACTTAAGGTTTTGAGGGTTCTTTTTGGCATCTCCTTTTCTTTGCCTAGGACAGCAATGTGATGGAAATATACTGAGTAAAATGGGAATATAGGATCCCTAAATCACAACGTTTATATTTCAAAAGTGAGTTTGTTTAAAATGCCTATAACTAAAATAGAAAAGTATGGACATTAATGTGAATGCGTTGGGCTGATAAGGATAAAAGGGACTATTAAACAGTAGAATAAATCATAACCTGAGAGAATCAATGTCAAGGCTGATAGTGAATGCTACAGATTATTTAAACTCAAAACATCAGAGGCATTGATGCCAGAACACCACAAATATTTATCATGTGCTTCCCCTTGTCCTGTCACTTAGGAAATACACAGTTGGGATGCCAGTTCAGGTGAATGTGTGATTCACCTCTCATCAAAAAAAGTGTACTAAATTGATTAGCTATGACACAAACTTATGAAATAACAGTTTCAAAATTCTCATTTACCGATGCCCACGTGGCTACTGAAGCACCTACATTTCTCATATTCTCTCATTTGACCTTTTCTTAAGAATTCCTTGATCCACTTATGTAAGACTTAAAACACATCAAATAAACTATGTAGAATAAGCTTTCAGTATCAAAATAGTTATCAAAAGAGAAAACATTGAATTGTCACAGTCTTGATAGAAAAGAATAAACTTTTATATTTCAAGATCAGTGAGGTATTAGAAAATGACAATTTTGGTAGTCATAGAATAAATTTTATAATATGACTGCTTCTAAAATTAGCTAACTTTGGCATGTCATCTTAATCTGTAAATGACTTTTATAAAATAGCTATCATATCAAAGAACTGGCTGACCCCCCCCCCAAAAAAAAAATAGCCAAAATGCAACTTAGTCACATCTTATTCACTCTTGTCAATGAAACTTCTTGCTCTGCGGCCTGACAGTTATGAAGAGAAATTAGCTGCTGTGGTTTACCCCAATTCTAGCACTCCCTCCTGCCTCCAGTACTCTCCACAGCAATAACCGCTTTTGCTAGACTGGGCATATGCCAAAGGAACTAGAAGTGAGGTGTTTCAAGATTTCTTGGATTTAACTCCAAAGTTCCCCCAACAAATTCCGTTTTCTTCTCCTGTCTTTGCCCTTTCAGAATCCCTCTTCCTTTGCAAAAGTAATCTTTAGATCTGTCATCCTGATGCTTCTCTTCCTAACTGCTTTTTATAGATAATTGTGACAACTTTTTTTTTTTTTATCTGTATTAGCAGTAGTATACACCAATAATTTCTTTTTTCATCTCATTCTGCTTCCTCTGTGGCTAGAATCCTACTTCAGAAATAAAAGGAGATCAATGCCTTCCCTTGATTCTGTTATTTTGTTAAATAGCTGTCCAATGCTTCTTTTTCCAGATTTCTCTAAAGGAAGGCTATTTCCTTATTCAGAGCTGTGTCCAAGGAATAGCACCACCACCACCTGAGTATTCCTGAGAAAGGCAGAAACCCACATGTGCTGAATGAGAATGTCCATTTTCCAGAAGCTCCTCAACTAATTCATGAAAATTTGGATGCCCTGTTCTACACTAATGTGCTTCCACATTTGTTTACCTTAATTGCCCATCTGGAACTTAGCCCGTTTCTTCCCTATTAAGTCCCTGAATTTAATTTGGCATTATAAGCCATAATGTTTCTAATAAACTTTTAATCAGGTTATACCTTCTCTAACTTCCTCTCCATAAATCACATGACACTATTCAATTATGTTAATTTGGCCTATATGATACTATCCAATGAAGTTATAACATTTTTAGTTCTATAAAACTAAATTATGGCCATACAAGGCTGACCATTTATGGTGATATTCATCTATGGTAGATAAAACACAGGTCTGTGTGGTGAGGTACCTCAATCTTCATGCCTCTCCAATAGTCAGAATGACAGTAAGAGCAGGAAGATGTTACTCTAATTCTCTGACACATTTTGGTGCTGGAAGCTGACATTACCTTCTTTCCTATTTCTATTACCCTACTCTTCCTTCCACAAATCAATTTGACTTTACTACCCTCCTTTACATACACCCACATACTGTTTCTTCATTTATTCCATGTACACTCTGCCCTCCTCATTGTTTCTCTTTTATTCATTTCCTCTTCCCTCTTTCCTGACTTGCCTCAGATCTTATAGTATCTTATAATGGGAACTAATAATTCAGCTCCTTTAGTGGTACTCTCAATAGACTTAACTGCTGACCTCTGATTAGATACAGAACTTATCACCATTTTACTTCTCCTTTACTTATTATATATTTAATAGAACATTTTCTTTATCTGAATATATTAGTGCTCATATTAAAAAAATGTCCATCAAATGACTTTTTAAATAAAATAGTATCCTTACCTTCTCCTTTTACATTGACTATACTGTGTGTTTTTTAATTTATTTGTTTTTCATTGGAAGGTCTAGGTAAAGGCTCTGACACTTTCTTAGGGACACACTGTTGAGGTAATATCAAGCATGAGTTTCCATTTAAAAAATTATAATGTGTTGCATAAAGACTTTATCAATTTTTTCTCTTTTTTTGAAAAAGGGTCTCATGCTGTCACCCAGGGCTGAAATGTAGTGGCGTCATTATGGCTCACTGCAATCTCAAACTCCTGACCTCAAGCAATCTTTCCAACCCAACTTCCTGAGTAGCTGGAACTACATGTGCATACTGTCATGCTAGGCTATTTTTTACTGTTATTTTTGTAGAGACAAGGTCTCACTATATTGCCCAGGCTGGTCTCAAACTCCTGGTGTTTTTGTTGTTGTTGTTTTGTTTTTAGACAGAGTCCTTGTCACCAGGTGCCAGGCTGGAAGGTAGTAGCATGATCTCAGCTCACTGCAACCTCCGCCTCCCATGTTCAAGCAATTCTCCAGCCTCAGCTTCCTGAGTAGCTGGGACTACAGGCATACACCACCACACCCAGCTAATTTTTTTTAGTAGAGACAAGGTTTCACCATGTTGGTCAGGATGGTCTCAATATCTTCATCTCATGATCTGCCTGCCACAGTCTCCCAAAGTGCTGGTATTACAGGCATGACACACTGCACCTGGCCCAACTCCTGGTCTTAGGTAATCCTTCAACTTCTACCTCCCAAACTGGTGATATAACCAATGTGCACCACCACACGCAGCACTAATGAATTTACTTAAATAAATCTCAGTTTACCCAAGCTTGGCGGCTCAGTAATATAATCCCAGCCCTTTGCAAAACCAAGGTAGGTGGATTGCTTTAGCTTGGAGTTCAAGACGAGCTTGGGCAACATAATGAGAACCTATCTCTAAAAAAAAAAAAAATTAAACTGAATTAAAATGAAGGGAATCTAAATGGATAAAAAGTATTTACAGGTGGGAAGTTGGGAAAAGTTAACCCAAAAAAAAAAAAAAAAAAAAGAAAAGAAAATTAGGCATTGTGGTGTGTGCCTGTAGTATGTGCTACTTGGGAGGCTGGTGTGGGAGGATTACTTGAGCCGGGGAGGTGGAGACTGTGGAAGGATTACTTGAGCCTGGGAGGTGGAAACTGTAGAACAAGACTATGTCTCCCCTGAAATTTCAATTTAGTATTTTAAAACTAATTAAACCTCAAAACTATAAAACTCCTAGAAAATAACATAGGAGAAAGCCTGGATGATCTTGGGTATGCAGATGACTTTTTAGATAAAACATTAAGGCATGATCCATGAATAAAATTATTGAGAAGATTGAATCTACTAAAATTAAGAACATTTTTTTGTAAAAGACAATGTCAAGAAAATGAGAAGAGAAGCCAAATACTGGGAAAAAATATTTTCATCTGATAAAGATCTATTATCTAACATATATTAAGAACTCTTATTAGGTTGGTGCAGACGTGATTGTGGTTTTTGCCATTACTTTCAATGGCAAAAACCACAATCGGTCTGCACCAACCTAATAAAAATCAACAATGAGGAAACTAAAGGCAGATTTTTTAAAAAATCAGCCAGAGTTTTGCACAGACACCTCACCAAAGAAGATATAGAGATGGCAATTAAGTATATGAAAAGATGTTCAACATCATGTCATTAGGGAATTGAAATTTAAAACAACAATGGGATATGACTACACACTTTTTAGAATGGCCCAAATCCAAAACACTGTCAACACCAAATGCTGGCAAGGATGTAGAGATATTTATAACTACTTTCTTCATAATTGACAAAACTTAGAAGAAATCATCATGCCCTTTAGTAGATAAGTGGGTAAACTGTGGTACATTCAGACAACAGAACATATTTCAGTGCTAAAAAGAAAAGTATCAAGCCATGGAAAGACATGGAGAGGGAGACTTCTGCCAAGATGGCCAAATAGGAACAAATCTGGAGTGCACTTCCCAGTGAGAAAGATGCAGAAAGCAAGCAATCTCCACGTTTCCAAATGAGGTACCAGGTTTCTTTCAATGGGTCTGGTCAGACAGTGGCAATAGCCCAAAGAGGGTGAGCTCAAGCAGGACGAGAGTAGCCCAAAGAGGGCTAACTGAAGTAGGGCAGGTTGCTGCCTCACCTGGAAGTGCAACTGGCCTGGAGGATCAGGGAACTTACCCCCTTGGCACTCCAGTTGAGATATTGCCTTTCTTCCATGACCCCTGCAACCCACAGTACAGAAGAACACTATCATGCTGAAAAGCATGAGTTATCAACACAGATCTGAGTGACAGCTCTGGCCTGGCACTGGCACCATGAGTTATTAGCACAGACCCGGGCAGAAGTTTCGACTAACCCCAAGAACGCTTGTGAGATGGAACTACCCAACCCCCAGAAGGAAGGAGAGTTGAAAGCAGGGAAAGAGGTGATATGGCTTGGCAGTATCTACCCCACCAAGTCCAGCAAAGTGAAGCCCTCTCACTAGAGTTTTGCACCCAGCACATCAGTTTGAACTCGACCTGAGATGATTGAGCTCGGCAGAGGGAAGGACACCCGCCATTGGGAAGATGGGGCTAACCTCACGTATGTATACAAAAGCCAGTGGGAGACTACACAGCAGCCAGGCTGAACCCAAGGCAGCCCAGCAGCACCTCTGCAGGCAAACAAAGGACAGGCTCTCCCATCAAGTGGATCCCTGACCACTGTATAATCAAAAAAATGCCTCATACAAGAGAAAAAGCTTCAACTTCAACAGAAAGGATGTCCACTCAGAGATACCATCCGAAATCACCAACTTCAAAGATTAAAGGTAGATAATCTCACGAAGATGGGAAGAAACCAGCACAAAAAGGATGAAATCATCAAAAACAAGAATGCCTCTCATCCAAAAAGTCACAATTCCTTGCCAGCAAGGAAACAAAACAGGATGGAGAATGAGTTTGTCAACCTGACGTAAGAAGGCTTCAGAAGGTCGGTAATAACCAACTTCTCTGAGCTAAAGGATTATGTTCTATCACAACGTAAAGAAAGTAAAAACTTTGAAAAAAGGCTAGATGAAATGCTAACTAGAATAGCCAGCTTAGAGAAGAACATAAATGATTTGATGGAGCTGAAAAACACAGCATGAGAACTTTGAGGGGCATTGAAAATTTCAATAGCCAATTTGATCAAGCAGAAGAAAGGATATCAGAGATTGAAGATCAGCTCAATGAAATAAAATGAGAAGGCAAGATTAGACAAAAAAGAGTGAAAAGAAATAAACAAAGCCTCCAGGAAATATGGGATTATATGAAAAGACCTAATCTACACTTGACTGGTGTACCTGAAGATGAAGGGGAGAATGAATCCAAGCTGGAAAACATTCTTAAGGATATTATCCAGGAGAACTTCCCCAACCTAGCAAGGCAGGCCAAGACGCATATATATTTAGGATAGTTAGCTCTTCTTGATGCAGGGAATACAGAGAACACCACAAAGATACTCCTTAAGAAGAGCAACCTCAAGGCACATAATTGTCTGATTCACCAGGGTTGAAATGAAGGAAAAAATGCTAAGAGCAGCGGAGAGAAAGATAAGGTCACCCAAAAAGGAAGCCCACCAGACTCACAGTGGATCTCTCAGCAGAAACCCTACAAGCTAGAAGAGAGTGGAGGCCAATATTTAACATCCTTAAAGAAAAGAACATCCAACTTAGAATTTCATATCCACCCAAACTAAGCTTCATAAGTGAAGGAGAAATAAAATGTTTTATGGACAAGCAATTGCTGAGAGATTTCATCACCACCAGGCCTGCCTTACAAAAGCCTCTGAAAGAAGCACTAAACATGAAGGGAAAAACTAATACAAGCTACTGCAAAAATGTACCACATGGTAAAGACCAGTGAAACAATGAAGAAAATGCATCAACCCATGGGCAAAACAACTATCCAGTAACAAAATGGCAGAATCGAATTCAAACATAATATGAATGTTAAATGTAAATGGGATAAATGTCACAATCAAAAGACACAAACTGGCAAACTGGATGCAAAGTCAAGACCCATCAGTGGTCTGTATTCAGGACACCAATCTCATGTGCAAAGACACACATAGACTCCAAATAAAGGGATGGATGAAGATTTACCATGCAAATGGAGAGCAAAAAAAAGCAAGGGTTGCAATCCTAGTCTCTGATAAAGCAGACTTTAAACCAACAAAGATCAAAAGAGACAAGGGTATTACATAATGGTAAAAGGATCAATGCAGCAAGAAGAGCTAACTATCCTAAATATATGTGCACCCAATACAGGGGCACCTGCATACATAAAGCAAGTTCTAAATGGCCTACAAAAACACTTAGACACCCCCACAATAATAGTGGAAGACTTTAACTCTCCACTGTCAATATTAGACAGATCAATTAGACAGAAAATCAACAAGGATATCCAGGACTTGAACACAGATCTGGACCAAGCAGACCTAATAGACATCTACAGAACTCTCCACCCCAAATCCACAGAATATACATTCTTCTCAGCACCACATGCATTTACTCTAAAATTGATCACATAGTGGAAGTAAATCACTCCTCAGCAAATGCAAAAGAACGGAAATCATAACCGTCAGTCTCTCAGACCAGTGCCATCAAATTAGAACTCAGGATTAAGAAAGTCACTCAAAACCACACAACTACATGGAAACTGAACAACGTGCTCCTGAATGACTACTTAATAAATAATGTAATGAAGGCGGAAATAAAGATGATCTTCGAAACCAATGAGAACGAAGACACAACGTACCAGAATCTATGGGACACATTTAAAGCAGTGTCTAAAGGGACATTTATAGCAGTAAATGCCCACATGAGAAGTGAGGAAAGATCTAAAATTGACTCCCTATTATCAAAGTTGAAAGAGCTAGAGGAGAAAGATTTAAAAAAAAAAACAACAACTCAAAGGGAGCAGAAGACAAGAAATAACTAAAATAGAGGAGAGCTGAAGGAGATAGAGACACCAAAAATCCTTCAAAAAATCAACAAATCCAGGAGCTTGTTTTTTGAAAAGATCAACAAAATAGACAGACCACCAGCCAGACTAATTAAAAAGAAAAGAGAAGAATCAAATGGATGCA